GCGGCGACGTGCAGCGTCGCGGAAGCAGCGCGCCCGCCGCAGAACCGACCGCCACTAGGGAAGGCGACCACGCTCGGGCGGTTCCCCCGAGAGATTGAGGCCGAGGCGGCGAAACGCGGGAGAGTCGGGCCGGGCAAAAGGGGGGGATAGCCAAGGGGGGGGTTGAGAATCAGCTCACGTAGCTGATTTTCCCGGCACCTCCCGGCGCCGGAGGGCGGCCATGTATCGCGGAATGGGCCCGGCGGCGGGGCCGAAACCAGCTGCATGCAGCAGATTTCGTAACCGCCCCTTTCCCTATCCCCCCCTTTCGTCCGGCCCGAAGAGATCACGAGGGGATGGGAGAGGGTAAGGAGGCACCCAGGGAGGGGTGGGGCCGAGGCCGCTCGGCGATCGCGAACTGCCCCGCGGACCAGGCGCCCGACGGGGGGCCGCTCCGTGCGTGGTCCTCGGGCTGAGGACTGTCCTCCAGGCCAGACGGTAGGGGAACGAGCCATGGCATAAACATGGAACTCGGAGGTCCGCGCGGATTTCTTGGGTTCGCGCTGGTGCCCCCTCCCTGGCGCGCGGAGTGCGCAGGGGCGGCGCCAGAGGCGCCGCCAGGGGGGTTCCAGAGCCGATCCGAGAATCCCGCGCGGACCTCCGAATGTCTGTGCCTGTGTTATTCTTCGTTCCCCCGAGAGGGGCCAACCGCGCCAGAGCCGCGCCCGGCGCCCAATCGCGCAGCCCCAGCCGCCCCGGCCGCTCGCGCGCGCCGAGGCCGCCCTCGGCAAGGCGGGGCCAGCGGGAGGGCCGCGGGCGGGGAGGGCCGCCGCCTCCCAAGGGGCGCCATATGGCCCCGGCGACGGGGCCACCGCCCCCGCCTGCCTGCGGTAGTAGGAGGGAGGGATCGGGAGCGCGCGCGCGCGGTCGCCAAAACCATGCCTCGGGGGCGGTGCCCTCCCCAAAGTGCGGCCGGTGCCGCCTCGCTCGGCGGCGGGAGTCCGCGGTGCCCCATGGAAGCGGGGCCGATTTCCGCGAATCCACACCCCCCTGATCCATGTGTGCGGTCGCCCGAGGAGGAGGCGAGGAGGACCCCACGGCGGCAGGTCGGGCCTGCCCCCGGCGGATGGGGCCACTGGCGGCTGGCGGCGACGGCCACTGCCGCCTCGCCCCTGGCCGCGCGAGGACGGCCCTCAGCGTGCACGAGGGGGAGGGAGGCCATGCCGCCCGAGGCGCGGGTGGCCTGCAGGCCTCCTCCTCCAACGGGAGCGTGCGGGACGGAGGCGCCGCACGCCCATCCTCCAGCTGGGGCGGCCCTCGAGGGGAAGGGCGGCACGGCCGCCACTGCGAGGGGGCACGCGCACGCGCACGAGCACGCGCACGCGCACGCGCACGCGCACGCACACACGCGCACACACGCGCACGCGCACGCGCACGCACACACGCGCACACACGCGCAGACACGCGCAGACACGCGCAGACACGCGCACACACGCGCACACACGCGCACACACGCGCACACACGCGCACACACGCGCACACAGGCGTTCACAGGCGCACACAGGCGCACACAGGCGCACACAGGCGCACACAGGCGCACACAGCACACAGCACACGGCACACAGCACACAGCACACACACGCACGTACGCACGCACGCACGCACGCACGCACGCACGCACACACGCACACACGCACACACACACACACACACATACACACGCATACACACACACACACACGCACACACGCACACACACACACACACACACTCACACACTTTTTGCGTCGGCTGCTGGGCAGAATGACTGTGTTGGCAGATGGAACACATGTAGGGCATACACGTGCTGATTCTGCCGCAATGCAAGAGAGGACGGGTGGGAACGCCCGACCCGGGCTGGGCGAAAGGGGGGGATAGCAAAAGGGGGGTTTGAGAATCAGCTGACGTAGCTCATGTTCCCGGCGCGTCCCGGCGCCGGGAGGCGGCCATATGTCGAGGAGTGGGCCCGGCGGCGGGGCCGAAACCAGCTGCAATTGGAGTCCCGAAACGGTGCGGTGACAGACCGTGCGGTGACCTCGAAATCCCCGAAGACCTCACCGCACGCTCCATGCATGCAGCAGATTTCGTAACCCCTCCTTTCCCTTTCCCCCCTTTTCGTTCGGCCCGACCGACGCGGGAGGAGGGAGATCGGACGGCCCTCTCAGAAGGGCCCGGGCGACGGCGGGGCAGCGCTGCGACGGTGGGGCGGCGGCCGCGGGGTAGCCGGGGGGGAGCGGCAGCCAGGGGCAGCTGCGTGGGGCGGGGGGGGAAGAGGCCCAGGCGGCGCTGGGGAGAGGTAGCGCAGCAAGGTGGCTGAGCGCTGAGTCAAGGGGCTCAGAGACACACAAATAAATACACACACAAATAGCAGGATCTCCAGTTTTTTTTTCCAATAGTTTCTGGGTTTTTGTCTCCCCCCCCACTTCCCAGATGTTCCCACATTTTCTAGGGAATCGACGATCAATTGTGTCCGTGTGTTCTTGTTCACTCCTGGCTGAAATCGAGCCGACCTTCCAAGCGACAGCGCCACAAGAGAAGGCCACCTCAAGGGGGGGGCCGGGGGGCAGCCGGGAAGGGCCCAGCAGGCGGAGCAGAGCGAGGCGCCGAGGTCCAGGGGCCCGCGAGGCGCGGGGAGAGGGCGGCCCGGACACCGGACGGGGAACCGCGGTGGGCGGAGCAGCGAGCAACACACGCACACACGCACACACACACAGGCACACAAGCACACACGCACACACGCGCACACACGCGCACACACACACACATACACACACACACACACACACGCACGCACGCACGCACGCACGCACGCACACACACACACACGCACACACGCACACACACGCACGCACACACGCACACGCACATGCGTGTTTTGATACCGCGGCCACGCGCGCAGCGACCAGACGCAGAAAGTCAAGAGGCGAGATTGAGAGCGGCAGACGCGCGCGGCCGGGCCCTCAGAAGAAGTAAGTACACACACGCAGCTTTGAGCAGAGGCCGACCGTCCTGGCATGCCTATAGGCCGTCCACGACATGTTCTTAGAACCCACAAGTGCTCTAAGAGCAAAAGCAAGGATCTCAGAACACAAACCCGATGCGTTACAACAGGACAGTCCCAGCCAGAAATGTTCTGAGAACATGTCGTGCAGACCCCAAAGGTGCTCATAACACTCTTTGGCAAGACGCTTCGCCACTGCTTGACAGACCCAGACCCCCGACGCCATGATTTTTTCATGACGTCGACCCCCAGAGGTCTGGACCCCTTCCCCGGGACCCGTTCTTCATCCTGGCTCGTTTTGACGGTCCCGAGGCCCGGCAGGGGCCCCCAGAGGCCGAAAATATATGGAAAAACCTCCCGTCGTGATTTTTTCATGACTCGAGGAGGTCTGGGGCTGGCCGGCGGCGCGGGCAGTGCGAGCGGCCCCCATCGCGGCCTCCCACAGGCCGGCGGCGCGGGCCCCCCCGCCGCGGCCGCGGGCCCGCGGCCCCTCGTGACGGCGAAGAGCGGCGCGCGCGCTCTGCGCACACGCGCCCCAGGCTGGATGGAGCATCGAGGATCGAGCATCGAGAATCGAGCATCGAGGATCGAGCAGCGAGCATCGACGAGCAGCGAGCATCGAGCAGCGAGCATCGAGCAGCGAGCATCGAGCAGCGAGCATCGAGGACGTCTCCAGGCCCCTCCCGGGCCGTCCGAGGCCTCCGGGGGCCTCCACAGGCCCTCGGGGGCCTCCGCGGGACCCCTGGCGGGGGTCGGGCGGTGCGCGGGCCGCCCCTCTGCGAGGCAGCCCGCGGCACCGGTGGCCGGCCAGGAGCGGCGGCCGCGGAGGCTGCTGGAAGTGGGGCGCCGCCAAGGCGGCACCCCCGAGCAGGCGGTGCTCGGTGCATGCCTGGCCATCGCTCGGACGTCCATTCCTGTGTTTGTCTCGGTTTCGTGCGTGGTTTTTTCGTCAAACCGTTACGTCGACGAAATGTTGCACCACTTTTGCCGCGCATTGTCAGCTGTATTGGATTGCTCCTCCCCCCCCCTCCCCCTGATCTTAATATTGGGCACATGGCAAAGGTCCCTTGGCGCCCCCCCAAGGCTCGCGACAGAATGTTGCACCACCGAGCCGTTTCGATGAACCCGGGACCGCAGCCAATGGTAAGATTGGGGGGAGGGGGGGGGAAGCGAGCATCCATTGCAAAATCGGCTTGCTTTCTTGACATCACCAGGTGGTGCAACATTTTGTCGATGTACCGAATGATCAAGGATGCTCCTCGATGGTCCTCGCCGAAAGAAAAAAATACACACGCCCGAGCGATGCCGAGGTGCTCGGTGCCGGACCCTGGGCGCTCCGCTCTGGCAGCCTCGGCCTCTCTCCGGCCACGGCTCTCCCTGCGGGCCCCTGGCCCTCGCGGGGGCTGCAGGACGGCGACGACAGCGAGCGAGAGGGCACCCTCGATTTCACGGGCGAAAAACGGTATAAAATAAACTTTTTCGCTGTCGGGGGCGCCTGTCCCTGGGCGGCTGAAAAGTTCATACCCTTACTGTGGCACTGTAGGGGTATAGACTTTCCAGCCGCCCAGGGACAGGCGCCCCCGACAGCGAAAAAGTGTATTTTATACCGTTCTTCGCTCGCTGATCGACGAGACCCTGCCCGTGCCCTACGAGAGCGCTTCTCTGGTACCTTTCGCGGCAGCGGCCGCTGCCGGCTCCAGCCGCCGCCGACCCCCCGGGTGCGCGACGTCACGACTCGTGCTGGCGTCCTAGCTGTCCTTTGTCATTCCAAGACATTTCCCAGAGAGGCGTTCCTAGACATTCCTAGACATTGTCTTTTGTTACTTCTAGACGTTCCTAGTTCCTATGTTGTTATTCCTAGACGTTCCCAGACGGCGCTGGCGCGAAACGTGACGTTACTGGCCCCGCCCCCCCTCCTCCCCCCTGGCAACGACCGTGATTCCGCCCACAAGCAAAAGAGGCTCTTTACAGTGTTGGCGCC